TGAGGGGTTCAAGACCAGCCTGGGCAACTTGGCGAGACCTCGTCTCTACAATAAGTCAAAAAATTAGCCAGGCATGGTGGTGCATGCCTGTAGTTTCAGCTACTTGGAAGGCTGAGGCAGAAGGATCACCTGAGTCCCCAGGGAGAGGCTGCAGTGGCCGTGAGCATGCTGCAGCACTCCAGCCTGGGCGACAGAGTGAGACTCTGACTCAAACAAAACAAAACAAAACAAAATAAACAACAACAAAAATCTTTGTCCTGTGACTTCTCTAGGCCCTTGTTTCTGTATGAGTGTGTGCATGTGCATGTCTAAGAGGGCTGTGGGAGTGGATAGGGTGGAAGACAACAATAGGAAACAAACAAACAAACAAAACTCTTGTCCTAATACTCTTTCCTTCTGCAGTCCCTGCATGCTGCTTTTTTTTTTTTGAGTCGGAGTCCCACTCCGTCACCCAGACTGGAGCGCAGTGGCACGCTCCTGGCCGCCGCAGCCTCGACCTGCTGGGCTCTGGCAATCCTTCCGCCTCAGACTTCCAAGGAGCTGGAACTATAGGCGAGGACTACCACACATGGATATTTTTTTATTTTATTGTAGAGACGAGGTCTCACTAAGTTGCCTGGGCAGGTCGCGAACCCATGGACTCAGGCAATCCACTCGCCTCGGCCTCCCAAAGTGCTGGGATGACAGGCTGAGCCGCCGAGCCTGGCCAAGATGCCTGCATTTTCAAGCCCCTTTTCCTAGCACACGATTGTCCCTTCGATTTAGAAAGGCTGGAAGCTGTTTCTGCCAGGCACATCAAAACTCCTGGATAGCTCCTTGAAGCGGGTGGGGATTGGTGTGCAGGGCCTCAGCCCCCTCAAAAGGGGTGCGCTTTGCACTACACGTCAGGCCCTTCTCCCACAGGGGAGTGTCCTTTATTCCACTCCTTGGGGAACCCTACTTTCTGCTAGATAATCAGGTGGCTAACCGAGCCAGAAAAATACTGGGTCCTCCCCTCCCCAATGTAATGTCAGAAATGGTCATCAGCATCCTCCATGGAGGAATTCATTTTGTGCTTTGCACACTGTCAGACTATTACTGATGAAAAGTTACAATTAGTAAGACCCAAATTACTTAAATGCATAATAAATTCCCAAGATCACTTGTTGGTATGTGTTTTTCTCCTCCAAAGGATTCTGATACAACCACTGCCAGGTGAAGATCCTTGATTTTTTTTTTTTTTTAAATTTTGAGTCAGAGCCTCACTCTGTTGCCCAGGCTGGAGTGCAGTGGCATGATCATGGCTCACTGCAGCCACAAGTGATCCTTCCACCGCAGCCCTGGGACTACAGGTATGTACCTGCATTCCTGGCTAATTTTTATTTTTTTTTTAAAAATTCTATTTTAAAGATGTGGGGTACAATTAGGGGTTAGGTATACAAATGTTCATTAATTTTTAAAAACTTTTTATAAAAATGAGGTTTCACTATGTTGCTCAGGCTGGTCTCGAACTCCTGGGCTCAAGCGACCCATCCACTTGGCCTCCCAAAATGCTGGGATTACAGGTGTGAGCCACCGTGCCCGGCCAATGTTTTGTTTTCTTAGTTTGAAAAGGGATTAAAGGGGTTGAAATTCAATGATTTCTGCCTCAGTCTCCACCTAAAAAAGCGAAAGTCTAGACCCAGAGAAGTTCAGCTACTTTGCCTAAAATAAAGTAGCTAGAGGGTGGATTGAGGCAGGGACTGGAACTCAGCTCTGGTGGTCATCTGCACCACCCCATCGTTCCTGCAGAGCCTGAGGCAGGTCTGCCCACAGCTGGGACTGGACGTGAGACCTTAGAACCTGGAGTCCCCATCTTCAAAGGGACGATGAAGATCAAAGGCGCCTCCCAGAGGTGCTGTGAGATGATGCTTGGGTGCTGGACACACAGTCGGTCAGGCGCTTAGCACAGGGTCCTTGCTCACACTGTCTTGGGGGGGTGAGGCAAAGTGCCCTGGGGCTTTGGCTTCTCCTGGCTGGGTCTCCTGGGCCCTGATTCTCTGTTGACCTTGTTCCCTGGACCAACACTTCCCGCCCTGGCCCAGACACGCTCCCCCCATGAGAACTCCTCTTTATCGGCAGTGGCAGCTGAGCCGGAGAGGAGGCAGCTCTGGGGGCTTAAGGGAAAATAGTGTGAATGAAATCATCGCCCAGCGGGAGTCTTCCTGGCTCCGGGGATCAGCTGGCAATTGTTTTTTTAGCCGGTGATAACGGGCCCCTGAGGGGCGGAGAAGGGAGGTGGATAGAAGTTGCCCGGCAGCATCTCGTTCCCGGCCACCCAAAGCATCAAGTGCCCAGGCTTGGGACACAGCTGTCCAGCCCCGCTCTCGGTGAGCTGGCCTGCCCAGCCCTGGGGTCCCGGGAGGGGAATCTTCCACCTTGGAGGGGGTGGGAACGGTGAGAGGGCGGAGGGCGAAGGAGGCGGGTCTTCTCAGTTCCCCTTTTGTGTCTCCGCCCACTTTTCCTACAGCTTAGCCACTGCTCGACCCCTTTTAAGGTCATGTGCCTCATGGTGCTGCAGAGTGAGGTGGGGGGGATCTCATTCTTAGAGACGAGGGGTCTTAGGGACTAGGGGACGGATTGGCCTGCACTTTAAAGAGATGAATGCTGTTCCCTCTCTGACGATACATCTCTCTTTTTTTTTTTGAGTTGGAGTCTCACTCTGTCGCCCAGACTGGAGTGCAGTGGCACGTTCCCGGTCACCGCAGCCTCAACCTGCTGGGCTCTGGCGATCCTCTCGCCTCAACCTTCCAAGTAGCCGGAACTACAGATGCGTGCTACCATGCCCAGCTAATTTTTGATGTATTGTAGAGACGAGGTCTCGCCAAGTTGCCCAGGCGGGTCTCGAACCCGTGGGCTGAGGCAATCCACTTGCCTCGGCCTCTCAAAGGAGGCTGAGCCACCAAGCCCGGCTGACATCTCTTATTCCTCTTCCCGGTCTTCCCAGCTTCTCCTACCTGGATCAGACTTAGAGTGGGAAAGTGCATACGTTTATCTGTCTTTGATCCCTGCCTCCTCCCCATAGTTGAATTCCTTTCTGGGTAAGGAGAAATAAATCATACATAGTTTGTTAATAAAGGTGACAGAGAAGAAGAGTTTATATAATCTGTGCCTCCTCACAGGAGATTTGTTTTCTAAAATGTCCCCTGCAGGGAGTCCTGTAGCTGACAACCCAGATTCCCAGATCTCCTGCTTCAGTGGGATTGGGGCCTCATGGAGGCTAGTGAGAGGGGTCTCTTTTGGAGGAGTCCCTTCACAAAGAGGGCACTTGCTCCCCCAAACTCGGGTGGGTCCCAGGCTGCTACCCGTCCTCTCCCTCGCTTTTCCGGAGAGTGTTGGAAAGTGTCTGAGAACAAGTCTCATTTATTTCATCTTGCCTGACCCTCCAGCTCTTAGGGCCAGTGGAACACGGGGGTAGGATGATTCCCTGCCCTCCAGAGGACACAAAGTTTGCTGGTTCCCAAGCCTGCCTATGCCTCAGAAACACCCGAGACATTTGAAACACAAAACAGGTCCATGGCCCAGCACGGTGGCTCATGCCTGTAATTCTTCCACTTTGGGAGGCTGAGGCGGGAGGATTACTTGAGGTTAGGAGTTTGAGGCCAGCCTAGGCAACATAGCAAGACCTCATCTCCACACACACATACAAATTCATCAGGCATGGTGGTGTGTGTCTGTAGTCCCAGCTCCTGGGGAGGCTAAAGTGGAAGGATCGCCTGGGCCCAGGAGGTCGAGGCTGTGATGGGCTGTGATCGTGCCTGTGCACTCCAGCCTGGGAGACAGAGTAGAATTCCAACAAAACAAAACAAACAAACATAAATAAATTAGCCTTGCAGTCTCAGCCCTAGTGAATAAGAATCTCTGAACGAGGTTCCTGAAAACCAGACTCTTAACAAGTTACCAAGGTGATACAGAGGCACACCAGCCACAGAATTGTGTTGGAGACCCACGGATTTTAATGATGCCACAGTCACGTGTCCACGCAGACCTCCCCAGACTGAGAGATATAAGCATGGAAGACTATGGGGTGGAGGCCACTTGGTCAACCCCTTGAGTGTTTCGCAGACCTCTTTTGGGTTGGCTTCCCGGAACCCAGCACCAATCCCAGGCCTAGTCATCCATTCGCTTCCTGATCCTGTCTGTCCTCCAAGGGGCAGTAGGACAGCCTTCCACACCCTCCCCATAAATAACTTTGGTATTTTTTTAGGATTGCTCCGAGGTCTTCCCTTTTAGTCTTCTTATTTCTGCTAGAAGAACTCATAGCTTCTTTGATTTCATAGGGATACTTCCCCAACCCTTATTTCAGAAGAAGCCAAATCACCAGCTGAGGACCCCAGGAACGAGTGGATCGGAGAGGGCAGAGGTTTTGGTCAAGGTGCTTAAAAGTCGGTTACCTTAACCAAAGTGCCAGCATTTGCATTCCCAGGAGGGACCTACAGGAGTGAAGGGGGTGAGGCCTAGTGCCTGCCCAAAGTGAACGGTGGAGAGGATGTTTCTCCAGCTGATGCCATCAGAGACCAGAAGACTGGAAACTTCAGAACTGAATTTCAGCATGTCGACAAAGATGAAAATAACCTCCACTCCCACCCCTTCTACTGCACTCTAGGCTGGGGGCGTCTCTCGGGGGTCTGGGACAGCACATCCAGGCTGAGAGATGGGCCTGGAAACCACACCTGCCCCCGAGCCTGGATGACAGACAGCTTTATGCATGAACACGGGTTTTCCCGGGGACCCGTGAGCTCTCTGAGCTGCGGTTTGTCTAATTGCACAGGCTGCATCCAGCAGGCAAAGTCAGGGAAAACACAGAGCAGAGGACAATCAGCATGCAAGACCCCTCACATGCACGGCATCTTTCACGGCTCCTTCCTTTCTCTTTCTGGATAGCTATTCACTTCTCTCTGCAGAACCCAGTATTGTTTTCTTCCATTGTGTTAGTGTCAGGTCTCACCCAGCCTGCGGTTTCCCCGACCCGGTAGACTTACCGTGGTGTACAGTCGTCCTTTACTGTTCATGGCAACGAAGAGGGCACTTCTCACGCCAAAGAGACTCACCACTCCTCTCTCCACAGTGGAAATTTCCAGCAGGCCTGACAAGGAAATGGGGGCCCATCACCTAAGGCTTGTGCAAATCGGAATGGGAACACAGGTGGGCAAGGGTGTCTAAGTCTGTCTCTCTGCTCCTAGAAAACCAGATCCTCATCACTTCACTCCTAATCCCTGATCCTTCCAACTTAAGGAGAGGATCCAGGCTCATCAAGCCCTGCCACTGTGCTGTTAAAAATCTCGGTCTGTGGCTGGGTGCAATGGCTCACGCCGGTAATATCAGCATTTAGGGAGGCCGAGGTGGGAGGATTGCCTGAGCCCATAATGTCGAGACCAGCCTAGGCAACATAGCAAGACCTTGTCTCTATAAAAATCAAAAACTTAGCTGAGTGTGACGGCACAAACCGTCCCAGCTACTTGGGAGGCCGAGGCAGAGACTGTGGAGAACTGTGAGCATGCCACTGCATTCCAGCCTGGGCAACAGAGTGAGACTCTGATACAAAAAAGACCAAAACACAAACAAAAACCCATTCTGCAAGGGAAAGTTCTGACATCAGAGTCAGAGACTGCAATGAGTGCTTAGAGTAGCTTTGAACTGGGCTTTCACTGATATCATCTGAGGCCCCTGACTTGGGTAAAAAAAAAAAAAAGAATTCTGATTATTATTATGTTTAATGAATACTACACTTGATTCAACAAATTCAACCCACCTAATCTCAAAAACACTGCAGCCACACCGGGACTGCTGACTTGGCTGAAACCTGCAGCTCCATCCCCTTCTGGGCAGGAGACTTTATAGCAGCCTGTCAACTTACAGGATAAGAACTTGGGGACCAGGTTGAAATAAAAAGAAGGATGTGGGAGGCCAAGGCAGGAGGATTGCCTGGGCCCAGAAGTTCAAGACCATCCTGGGCAACACAGCAAGCGCTCATCTCTACAAAAAATCAACCAGGCGTGGTGGCTCTCGCCTGTAATCCCTGATATTGGGAGGCCGATCGCCTGAGCCCAGGAGGTCCAGGCTGTGATGAGACGAGATTATGCCACCACACTCCAGCCTGGGCAATAGAGTGAGACCCTGACTCAATAAAAAATAACTCCAATACAACATGAAGAAGGAAGCGCTTTTGCTGGAAATTTTGCAAATCACTTGCCTTTCTTCTCAAAGAGAGGAGCTGAATAAAAATAAGCTTGTGTCTAATTTGGTCCGAGGATCCTAACTCACTCTCCCAGTGGCTGGTCAGGGCTCCCCGGGCTGGTGGCTCCCTGTGGTCCTACAGGGCTTCGGATGGGCCAGTCATGGCAAAGTAGTGAGTGCAGCAGGCCCTCCCTGGGGCGACGGCTAGGGCGCTAGGATGCTTGGAGCCCGGTTATTGAGTCTGCACCTAGGCAGCATCAAACCACATCACCTGCGTGGTGAGCATCCTTTCTCCCTGCTTTATATAGGACACCGTCCACCGCAGCGAGACCCCTTCCCCTTGGAGCCCTATGTGACCCCCAAGCCCCCAGCGTCCCAACTGACCGCAGGCGACACTCACTGTAGGGGTTCTCCTCGTGTGTCCCGCTGATCCGGCCATCGGGGGGCACCTGGAGGTGAAAGCCGATGCCCACGTTGCAGTAGAGTCTCCGCTGCCGCTTGATGCCCACCAAATAGCCGCTTTCCCAGTTCACCCCGGCGATCTCTCCGGCGAGCCCAGCGCGAGACCTGGACAGCAGCGCGCCCCAGGCTCTTGAGTCCAGCGGTGTGGCGTTGGCGCGGCTGCCCGCAGGCGAGGGCACCACCATGCCCACTAGCACCCCCAGGAAGACGAGAGCCCGCAGCGTGCCCTGAAGACGTCCTGCTCCCGGGGACATAGTGATGAACAGCCTCTGTCCCAGGGCCATCCACCTTGCCTCTCAGGCACGTGGTCAGAATTAATGGCCCTAAAAATACCGCCCTTCTTGTTTTTCTCCCCTCGGCATGGCGGCAGGGGCTTATTTTTGGAAGGCGGATGAAGGCTGCTGACACGAAACCGAAGCCTGCCTTGGGCACTCGGGCTGGGAACAGAGGGACCCAGGCTGAGCCGCGGCCGGTGGCGACCATGGCTCAGGGACGCTGTCTAGCTCACCGGCCGGCTCCGGCCCGAGTTGATGGCACTTGATTTGACCTATCTTTATAGTGAGTTCAGCAGCCCGGCCCTCCCCTCCACCCATCATCACCCTGACGTCAACCGCCCGGCTCACTTATCCAGGGCTGTAACATTAACCTGCTTCGGGGCCTGGCTGCCTCCCCAGACCCCCATGGCCCTCCACAGGCCCCAGGGGTGCTGGGAGCCACTGTCATTCCAACCATGAGGCAGGCGTGGAGTGAGCAGAGAGCATCTCTGGGGGAGGGAGAAGCTGGCTTGGGGCCTGGGGGAAGAGGGAGGCGAGAGGCCATCCAGGATCCAAACTGGGCAGAAGTTCTGGCCGGCCGCACTGGCTTCCTTATTTAGAGGGCAAAGGGTAAAGGCAGGGATGGGAGGTGGCCTGGCGGCAGTGGTGGCAGATAGTCTACAAGTCACCCTTGAGGCTTTTCATGGAAAGAGCTCAGGTGGAGGGGAGCACCGAATGGCTGAGCCTTTGCAGCAGAAGAGCACAGGGGTTCTGGTGGGAGTCTTGTCCAAGGCGCTTCTGGACGCTGGAGAGAGGGAGGGAGGGAGGGCTAAGGGGCATTTTCCCTGACCACTGTCCTGGCCACGGCATTCACCCGCGGCGGAAGTTGGGTCTGGCCCTTGGCGTAGCCCATGGCCATTCTCTTTTCTGGGCACATCCCTGGCATGCAATTGATATTATTCCCATTTTCCAGATGAGGAAGCTGAGGTTTAGAGGGGTCACGTGACTTGCCTGAGTTACCACAGCTAACAAGTGGCAAAGCCAGACCCCATTAAGTCTGCCTGAGTCCAAGGTCTGTGTGTGCTTACTGCTTGCAGTAGAAGGCAGGTTCCCAGGCTGGCCCGCAAAGTCTGTTTACCTCTTTAAATGCCAAGGCTACTTCATAGGCTTATTTCAGTAGCACAAAATGATTCATTTGTTAAAAAAAAAAATTACCGACTGTCTTTGATGTACATAAGAATTTCTGCATTTGCAGATTAGTTTTGCTAGGCTGGCATCATAGTTAGAAACTAGTAAAAATATTTCTGGTAAGAAGTTATTCCAACATCCAATTTTCTGTTCCCATATTGCCTTTAAATAGATTATATGTCGCTGGGCGTGATGGCTCACTCCTATAATCCCAGCATTTTGGGAGGCAGAGGTGAGAGGATTGCCTGAGCTCAGGAGTTCGAGACCAGCCTGAGCAACATGGCGAGACCTCATCTTCACAATAAATCAAAAAATAAGCCGGGTATGGTGGCACAGGCCTGTAGTTCCAGCTACTTGGAAGGCTGAGGCAGAAGGGTTGCCTGAACCAGCAGGTTGAGGCTGCGGCAGCTGTGAGCGTGCCACTGCACTCCAGTCTGGGTGACAGAGTGAGACTTTGACTTAAAAAAAAAAAAAAAAAAAAAAATATATATATATATATATATATATATATATAACTGAAGTTAAAAAAATTATATTAAAAAGCTATAAAAAATGGCCAGGCACAGTGGCTCATGCCTGCAATCTCAGTGCTTGGGGAGGCAGAGATGGAAGAATTGCTTGAGCCAGGAGTTTGAGACCAGCCTGGGCAATATAATGGGACTCCATCTTTACAAAAATATTTAAAAATTAGCCAGGTGTGGTGGCACTCACCCAATTACTCAGAAGGCTGAGACAGAAGGACGGCTTGAGGCCCAGAGTTTGAGGCTAAGTAAGCGAATGTACCACTGTACTCCAGCTTGGGCCACAGAGCAACAACTTATCTCTAAAAAAAAAAAAAAATCAGATAAGATTATACAAATTAAATTAAAATCTGCCCCCCAAAACCTCCTATAAATTGCTGTGCATATATAAGAAGGAAGAAACTGTGTCTCTGAGAGCTAAATAAGTTAACCAGGGTCACGTGGAGAATTAACTTGAGTCTGAAATCTCATTTTCTTGTCTTTCAACCCAGGTCTTGAGCTGTTGGTGGGACGACGGCGCTGATGGTGCAGGGAGCTCACAGGAAAGGGTGTGTGGCGTGGTGGCCATGGTGAAGGGTGGGTTTGAACTTGCTGGGCAAGGACGGCTGATCCCTGCGGGCAGCTCCCTGAGTTATACGCCTCCCCCACATTGCAGGCCACGGGCAGCCCCGAGAGCTCCCAGGGCGAGTCCCGCCGCTCAGAGACTGGTCTGAGGCACAACTGTCTTCCCTCTTAGCCTCTGGCTCTGGCCCGTCCCAGCCTCTGGTCTGTGGCTTCTACCTGCCTTCTGCCCTCTCTGCCTTGTTCATTTGGGCTGATGCCTTGGTTAGACTTCTGTCCAGCCATGGATGCCAGTGTTGCCCTAGAGGTGTGTTCTCAGATCGCTTGAAGCCCAGACATCTCCTGTCATGGTGCGCAGCCGGTGGGCAGAGCAGGAAGGGACACATGCACCCTGGTCACTGCTGCCCTCCCCACAGGGTCCCAGCTCCCCACAGTCGCTCCTTTCCTGTCACAGCCATCGCCTTTTGCCCAACCCTCTCATCGCCAGCACCACCTTTTTCCACAGGAAAGAATGGCGCCTTGTGGGCACGAATGGAGTCTCCTGTCTAGGTTTTTGTGGGAAAATTGCCTTTGGCTTTCAATGGAAGTTTTGGAGACATCTTTCTGCAGAGTAGGAGGGTCGTGAATAATCCAAAGACAAAATTGTCAGCAAGAAGAACTTTGTTTTGGATTTTCAGCTTGATTTCATATTGATCCGTACAGATTTTGCATCATTTCATATCAATCCATATCGGCCATAATGATCCATAATCATTTCGTGTTGTTTCATCTGGATTCGTATTGATTTCTTGTAATTAATATCGATCTATACCGATTTTGTGTTGTTTCATATCCGTCAATACTGATTTCACACCATTTCATATCAATTCATATAGATTTTATATCACTTCATATTGATCTATATCGATTTCATATCATTGCATAATTGATCCATATCAGTCTCATATCATTTCATGTAGATCCATGCTGATCTTATATTGTTTTGTATCGATCGATATCAATTTCATGTGACTTCATAATCAATCCATATTGGTTGCATATCACTTCCTACTGCTCCATACTGATTTCATGTTGTTTCATATCAATTTCATATCACTTCATATCTATTCATCTTGATTTCATACTGTTTCATGTATGGAAAAGCGTCGAGGCACTTTCTCAATGACATTCAGTTTGGAATCCTGTGTTAGCTTTGCTTGTCCCGACTTAGGGAAGAGAAAGCCCAGAGCATGCCAGATGTAAGGAGAAGGTAGCCCAAATTCACACTTGCCTTGGAGAATGGAAAGGTACTCTCCAGCAGAGCTCAAAATCTCTGTGGAATAATTCTTAGAACACATCCGTTTTGAGACCACCTTAGGCGAGAGATAAACTCTAACAATGTCCTTGCATATATTGATAAAAATATCCTTAGATTCACCTCATCCCAGATTCCTCTCTGCGCAGAGGTGGCAGTTTGATATTTTAGGAAGCAGTGGGATTGGAATGGGGACACCTGAATTTGAATCCCCTCTCCATTAGCTGTGTGACCCTGGGAAAGTTCTGGACCTCTCTGAGTCTCATTTTTGCATTTCATCTGCAAAATGAGATCACTACTTCCTAGGGGTGGTCCAGTGGTTAGTGACAATACATGCAAAGGGCCCAAGGCAGAGCACAGTATGGGATAGCTTGTCCGCAGACCCTTCTCTAAAACACAATGAAAATCTCTCACCCAATTAAAAGAGGACAGACCAAGAGTGAGAAGAACCATCTCGCCTCTCAAGCAGTAGAAGAGACACGTGGGCTTCCTGCTCCTAATCGCTGTCCACCAGAGCATATGTTGTGATGGCTGCTAGCATATGTAGAAGCAGGCAGCCCGGATTCCTAAAATGTTCTGAAAACCAGTAATAGCCTTGGTGTCGTCCCCTGTTAAATATAAAACTTAAGTAATTCATTCTATTAAAAAGCCTGGGTCTTATTTTTATCGGGTGATGCGATGAGGCTCTGTTCTAAATGCGCCTCTGTGCCTGTCTCCATAGCAACCTTTCTGTGCTCGGAGAGCCATATATTTTTCCTGAAGGCTAATTAAGTTGACAACTGCTAGGGCTTCTTGGTTTACCAGATTCGCACTTGACCCCTCTCTTGGGGCTTAGGGACCCCTATGGATGTGAAGTGATCAAGAAAAGAGGAACAGGTGGAGGGGGCCGCTCTTCGTGGACCCCTCTTGCAAATACTTGGCCGGCAGCCTCTGGGGGCTGTCCATCACCCTGGCCGGAGGGGCCAAGGTCTGGTGGAAGTGAGTGGGAAGATATGCTAATGTCTTTCCACGACAGGTTCCTTGTCTCTGAGTGGGGCACCACCAAGGGTGGATCGGCCTGATTTGGCAGGGCTTTCGTGTCACCTGCACGGTGGAACCACGGCTGTGGCACCAGGCGGGTTGCCCTCTGACTCCTGTTGATTACATCATGCAGTTCAGGGGCTTCAGCAGGGACTCTGAGGAGAGACACATAACACTCAGAACAGCCATAGACATGTAACTGGTGAAAAACTGTGACTCTGTGCACTTTTTACAATTGGTTTTGAAAGAGTGACATTTGCCTTTTTCTCTAGAGAGTTTGGAAAAGGTAGAAAACTAAAAGGTAGGCCGGGCACAGTGGCTCACGCCTACAACCCCAGCACTTTGGAAGGTCAAGGTGAGAGGCTCACTTGAGCCCAGGAATTGGAGACCACTTCTGGGCAACAGAGTGAGACCTTGTCTCTACAAAAAAGTTTTAAAAAATTGACCAGGTGCGGTGTCGCATGCCTGTCATCCCACCTACTCAGGAGGC